CCCCAAGAGTGTACACCACCACCACGTCGATGCCTCCCCTCCTCCTCCGCCCTCGTCTTCCTCTCCTCCTTCCTGGGGGAGGGGGGGGATGAAGGAGGTGGTGCCTCCCATCCTCCTCCGCCCTCAGCTTCCTCTCCTCCTTTTCCTGGGGGAGGGAGGGTAGGAAGGGGGAGGTGGTGGTGGTGTATACCTCTGGGCCCCGCAGAGGCCGGAGCCCGAGCACTCCGAGCACGCAGCTTGCTGCCTCTCTTCCCTTCGAGGAGCTCGCCGGCGCGCGCTCGGCGCGTGGGCGCCGCTCGGGCGACCCGCAGGACTCTGCGCGGAGCCTGCGCTGGCGCCTGGGACAGGAGGCCACGTGCGAGCCCTGCCCCTGCCCCCCACGATCTCTCTGAGTGGGAGGGGGGGGGGTCACTTCGCCCGGGCGCGCCCGAGCGAAGTGAACCCCCCGCCCTCCCCCTCGGAAATCGCGGGGGGTAGGGACAGGGTTCGGGAGCGGCCAAGAGGGGGGTGTGCAAGAGGGGGGGTGCAAATCATGACCGGCGGCATGTGCGCGGCCCAGCGGGGGGGCCAGGGACGTAGTGACATAAGAAGAGGCTCCATGAAATCTGGGGAAATCTCATGACCCCCGCCATGAGATCCACCCCCCCTTAGGGGGGTGGATCACCCCCCTCTTTTCCGCCCCCGAAGGGCTCGCATGTGGCCTCTTCAGGGGAGAGTCCGGCAGAACCTGGAAGAATTCCATCGGGGCCAGCCTCGGGAGAGCAGCTTTCCGCGACGCGGGGCGGCGCCCGGAGGCCCGTCGGAGACGCCGCGGGGCGCTCGCCCCGATGGCTCTCGGGTCGCGCCTTTGGCGCCCCAAGCGGCCGCTCGGGACGGCCCGTGGGCGCCCCCCGGAAAGCTCGCGGCGAGGCCGCCGCCGCCGCCGGAAGGCATCTCGGGGGCGGAGAGCCGCAGAGAACCTCGAGGAGGAGCGAGGAGGGTCGAGGAGAGCCGAGGAGGGTCGGGGGTCGGGGTCGGAGCGACGAGGGATCGAGGAGCGTTCAAGGAGTCTCGAGGAGGGCCGCGGAGTGTCGAGGAGGAGTGGAGGAGTGCCGAGGAGGGTCGGACGTCCATTTCCCGCGCACTTGTCGGATTCGTGCGCGTTTTTGTTGCTCGATGGTCCAGGAGGGTCCCCGGTGGTTCTCGCCGAGGAAAAATGCGCACACGTCCGAGCGCTGCCAAGACGAAGGCGCCGAAGAAGCCTCGAGCCTCGACGCTTCAGGTCTGGTCCCGCACCGAGCGCGGGGCGATCGCAGATGAGGCTCTGCGTTCCCTCGGGAGCGTCTGCACCGGCAGGTGGGAAGTACATGCTTTGGCAGGAGTGGGAGGCGTTACAGTTGGGCTGCTGAAGCAAGGAAGGCTAATTGAGGAACGAAGCCCCTCTGCGGCTCCCAAAAAGCCTGGGTGCACGAGAAGGGCTAGAGGAACAACCACGGAAGGACGTAAGGAACATCGAGCCCCTTCCGAATCCAAACTGCTCCTCATTGCAGCGTCGCGGCTGCAAGTGCACAAAGCTCCGAGCCGAGCCGAGCCGTCGATTCGACGCTCGAGGCCCAAATCGTCCACTCGAGCCCGAGCGCTCAGGGACGGCTCAGGGACGGCTCAGGGACGGCTCAGGGAGGGGAGCCTCGAAGTCTCGGGGAGGGCCCAGGGACGGCTCGGGGAGGGGAACCTCGCCACCTCGAGCGCTCAGGGACGGCTCAGGGAGGGAAGCCTCGAAGCCTCGAGAAGCCTCGAGAAGCCACGAGAACGCCCGAAAACGCCCCGAGAAGAAGCCTCGAGACGCCTCGAGGAGCCTCGAGAAGCCTCGAGAACACCTCGAGAAGCCTCGAGAACACCTCAAGAAGCCTCGAGAAACCTCGCGAGAACCTAGAAAAAAAACGCCCCGAACGCCTCGAGGAACCTCGAGACCTCCGGCGCTCGGGGCGGGGGGGCCGGCCCGCGGCCTGCGCCCGCGGGGGGCTGCCGCCCCGCGGGGGCCGCGGGGCCGGCGGCACCGGGGAGCCGAGCAGCGGCCGCGGCGAGGGCGGCGCCGCCCGCCTTCGCCACGGCCCCCGGGGGGCCCTACACGACGGCGGCGAGGAGGAGGAGGAGGAGCAGGAGGAGGAGGAGAGAGGAGGAGGAGGAGGAGGCAGGAGGAGGAGGAGGAGGAGGAGGAGGCAGGGGAGGAGGAGGAGGAGGAGGAGGAGGAGGAGGCGGAGGATGAGGAGGAGGAGGGGAGGCGGAGGAGGAGGAGGAGAGGACGCGGAGGAGGAGGAGGAGGAGGAGCAGGAGGAGGAGGAGGACGAGGAGGAGGAGGAGGACGACGACGACGACGAGGACAAGGAGAACGACGACGACGGCGAGGCCTACCTAAGGCGCCGCCCGCCTCGCCACTGCCGGGGGGTCCTGCGCCCTGCCCTAAGACGAGGCCTGCCACCGCCCGGCGGCGCGCACAGAGGGGGGGCAGGAGGGGGGGAGG